AAATGTACTGTATTCAGTAATGATGTATTCATACATACATCTAAAGTTGTTGTGTATGCTCCTCTTTCATAACCTGCGCTTCCTCATTTCAGTACAGGAAGTGAGTTTGCAGTCAGATGTAGAGCTGTCGCCACACTCTGTGGTGCTTCATTCTTGTAAAATTCTGTGAACATGGTACTTCTCTAATGACAAACACCGCCACCATGCCCCGTTCCGGCCATCATCTCTTGCCACACACTTGATGCCATAACAGCAGGCGAACTTCAAATCCTACAGGTAGGTGATATTTAATTTCATGTCTATCCATCCTGTCCAAATGAACACTGTGAGATGTAGGCCTCTGTTGAAATTCATGCACACAAATGCATAATTCTGATTAATCATATTGTAAAATGACCAATGCTTTGCAATTTGGAAGCATTATTTTGAAATTTTGAACAATTTATTTCATTAAACGGAACTTGATGTTGCAATGGAAACATACAAATCTCAACTCAGCGTTCCCATTTTGCAATGATGTTGGGGACAGTCGTTCAATCGTGAGCTTTTAGGAAGTCACAAACTTTGTTGTGTAGAAGGAGAAAATACAGGTTGTTATATGAGTGGGAAAAAAACCTGATTGGAATATTTACATCTTTTTCTTTTTCTGCTCTCACTTCAAGCTGGAGCCCATCTGGAAGATGGGGAACATGATAAAAGGTGGGCTCGCCAGGGACAAGATCAACACTCAGAACATTGACAGCCCTCAAAAGAGTAAGTTTTTAAATAACACCAAAAAATATAATGAAGAGACCAATTTAGTTTTCGGTTGAAACAGCTGAAGTAGTGTGAAGAGTTTGTGAAGGGCCGAAGAATGTATCCTGAAGTGTTTGGAGAAAAATAATGGTTCTTGAGAGCTTGTGAAATGTTCACAAATATTTTCACATCCTGCATTCTTATATCAGCTTTTGTGTGCATGTAAAAAATGCACTAGTTCATTTGAATCTGTGAATTTGTCAACAAAAAGTCCCAGTTCAAGTTTTGCCAATGTATATATTTTGTGCATGTGTGAAAATGATGAAGTATAGTGTGCGGCCAGGTGGCGGCAGGTCAAAAAGCAAAAAGCATAAAACATAAACTATGATCATTCAACAACTATACAAGTATCACAAAGCCGAATACATCTACAGTATATAAGAGCCAGAACCCTTGCTATCTATTTAAAGCTTAAATGAACTCTAGCTGGAATAGTTGAATTTCAAAGTGGAGAATTTTATAGTAGAATGTCTACTAACAAATTTAGTAGAATTTTTTAGTAGACATTCATTTCAATGGGAAATATTTTTTTAAAAGTTGGAATGGAGTTTCTATGTTAAAGCAAGTAGAAGTAGTTAAGCAGTACATGTGTCACGTCAAAAAAAATTCTCTACACTGAAGTTCACTGACTTCTGCCAGAAAGTGTTTATGTGCTTTACACAGCTTTGTTAATCTGACCATATCAGCAATGTCATAATAGAGTAAACGACACTGAAAACTAAATCAAACAAACACTCAGTCAAAATTAATTGACTATAAATTCTGATAATGGTCTGTTTTTTAAAAATCTCTGGAAATTTCCAAATCATGATGTCTGTGTATCATCATGTGGCTGTTTCTAAAAGCTGTAAATATTCTTCTTGGCAGGTTCTGAGGACAACATGGTGGTGGTGCTTCAGGATTACCCATCTCCTGATGTCAGCGAACCCATCTATAGGATGGGGGAGAAGCTCCGAGTCCTTGCACAGTATGATCAAGTTCTGCATTCTTGTTTTAAATATTCCAGCTTTATGATACAGAAATGAATCTTTTAGACAGAAGATCAAAAATAAATATGAGGAAATTAAAACAGTGAAGGAGCTCTCACAGTATGGAGAAGTGCTCACATTAAAGGTCAACTGTTGATTTTTCTTGGTGGTTTCAGGGACACTTATTGGTGGAGGGTTCGCTCCGTCCAAACAGGGAAGGAGAACTACATTCCCAACACTCACGCGGCCAGAGTCTATCATGGGTAAGTTCAATAATACTGACGCTATCCTCTAGTATTGTTCTATAGCTGGTCTGTTTTAGTGTATAATAAATCCCTAACAGCAACAAATGCATCTCTCTTCCCCACTATATCTAAGATCTCTCTCTGAGGAGACACAAATATCCCAAAACATCAGTTGTGTTTCATGTTGCAGTTTCAGTTGTATAAACTGGAAAATATTCAGCATTTAATCTCTTCTCCAACTTGCTGTGTCAGGTGGCTTTTTGAGGGGGTGGAGAGGCAAAAGGCAGAAGACCTTCTGCTTCTACCTGTGAACAGAGTGGGTTCATTTCTGGTGCGGGAGAGCAGCAGGGAGCGAGGTGAGAGTCTGCAACAATCATCTTCTCATTTGGGATGAACTTTGGGTTACAGAAATTGTCAGAAAGTACAGTTCCTGCAGAGGGGAAGAAGTAGTATGTCACTAAGTCAGATTTAAATCATTAAAAAAGAGGAATTTACTGAAAGAGAGTGCGTAATTCTTGAGTCTAAAACTGATGAGAAAATGGTTTTCACTGATGTTTCTTTAGGTCAGTATTCACTCTCAGTGAAGCACAGGCACATAAAGCACTATCGCATCCTCAGACTGGACAACAGCTGGTACTACATCTCCCCCCGTCTCACTTTCCAGTGCCTGGAGGATATGGTCAACCACTACTCGGGTGAGTGGATGCACAAACACTTCAGATAACACAAATAATTAGAAAAACACAGGCCTAAACATGTTTATAAAAATCGAAACAAACTCTACATGTAGAGCCGAGCGCAAGAACACAGACTTGTTGACATGAACTGAAAACCACTTACTGTGACGTTAATATGGAACAGTTTGTTATCAGGTCTCATTTTTATAAATATATTTCCTGCTATGACAATTCATTTTTGGACACAACAGGAAGTGACATACAATATGCAAAAAAATGTGTAATCATAACTTCTTGCAACAGTGAAATTATTCTTGTTGAGTTCCCCTTCACTAGTTTGGTCAGTGTGTGCTCATGAGTAGCGGGATGTGAAAGTGGTTATTGTAGATAATGGAACATAACAGAGAGCAGTGTTATAGTTACCCTACCTTTGCCTTCACAGACTCTGCAGATGGCCTATGTTGTGTGTTAACCTCTCCCTGTCTGTCCGCCATGACCCTTCAACCAGACGCCAGTGCCACAGCTCCGCCTGTAGTTATGCGACGCAACTTTGACTGGAAGAAAGTAGACAGGTACAATATGGGCTTGGTCATGATTATAGTGCAGAATTATTCTGGCAGATAGCAGCTGTTTATTTGTCAGCTTTTGAATGTCAAAATAACCAGGATAAGATGCAAGAATTTCAGGTAAAAAAGGTTTGTTTCCAGCTACATTTCTAAATATTCAAGCAGATTTTTATTCACCTGGTTGTTTTGATCATATTTTGGATTAAATAGCCAAACGTAGACATGGATTACAACATTTTTTCGCAGATGAAGAGGACATTTGTAATGCTAAGCTCTGTTTTTATTTATGTCTACATCTCCTGTCATTGCAGGAGACAGCTGGTGAGCACAGACAGCTGCAGCGACAACATGGTGAGCTACGGTGTCAGAAACAGCATCGCTGCCTACCTGTCCTTCTCTGAGAATCAGGACCATGCACAATTCAAGGCAAAGAGCAGGAAGAAGAAGAGCAAATCAGTTTATGTTCTCCCTGAAAACGGCCTTATGCACTATGAAGACTTCTAGAGGCAAATGGAATACCTTCAAGCAGGGGGCAGTAGGGGGCATCCTTCTCAGAAATGTACCAGCAGAGGTCTGTGCTGAACATCTCAAACATCATACTTCAACAATAACGCAAAGTGTCCGACCACTTACACTTGGACTGAGTTGATAAAGAAAGAACTAAGTTGAAGTGGACAATAGTGCAATTGAAATGTGACGTGTGTATCCTGCACATGGGCTGGAAAAACAAACACGATTGTATGAAGATGACTCGAAAGCTGTGGGCACTATTTGGCCATATTAATGTCTATATGAGTATTTGTTGCTTTCAAATCATCAAACCTGTGTTGGTTATTAATGTTGAATTGTTTTAAGTCTTATTGTGACAACAGCTTGAACTTGCATTTTTATTTGCCACTTTTACATTTACTTTTCACCTGATTAAGTTCATTAATGAATGTGTAAATATCTGCAAATAGAAAGTAAATATGCAGCAACGTTTAATTAAATTGTCATGTTTGTGTCTGATTGCATTAACCACCATTTTTGGTCTCTCTTGATAGGGACAGAACACGTTAAGATTATAGCAACAATGATTGTTTACATCTGTAGTCCCTTTCACAAACACATAGGCATTTGATCTTTGGTTTTGTATATTGATTAGAGCAGTTTTAAGTTCTGGCATTAAACAAAGTAGGTGTTGAGAAGGTCGGAGATATGATCATTAGAGGAAATTCAAATGTCAGTGGCAAATTATACATGATTCACTCAGAGGAACAACTCAGCTTGTGGGAACAGAACACAGTCACTACATTAGGATTAAAATGTACTTCTTTGTTCACTGAGCGTAACTTCCACATTTGAGCATGAGTGTTTTACTGCTGCAATAAGATCTATGGCTCTGTATCAGTGGTCATGATCTTGTACTTTTCCACTCGGTCTGTGTGATTTATCCGCGTACATTGTAAGTTGTTGGTAGTTTCTTTTTCTGTTAATGTTTTTTTTAACAAAATCCAGGTTTTAAAGCTCCAGTGACCAAAATAGGCAGAAGTTCAAGTTGCTCCTTAATTCAAATTGCTGTCGTTATGTGTTTAACTTCCTCTGTTGACCTTTGGCTATTGCTGCTTATGCAAAAGTCTCACTGTTTTCACATGGTCACAATATGACAGGCTGACTGCATAACTGCTGTTTAATATGATGTTAAATAAAAGCATACATGCAAACAGAAAATATTCATACGAGAATCGATATACTTATGTAAGAAAACCAAACTTTCTTCTAACATTATCATTTTAGTGCTTAATCAACTTCCTCTGTTGTATTTAACAGCTTGAGCTAAACATTTTTAACCATTTCTCTGAGGAAACCGATCATTGAGTTTGGGTCTAAATAAACAGCGCAGTGTCTTTATCTGTAGTTTCCTGCTCCTGGCTGGTGCATGTGAGTCAGAGAGTAAAGCATGATAAATAAGTTGAGGACTTTAATGTGTTTAGTCAGTCGGTGAGGAAACGTTGACTGGAAGTGATGCGTTGGTCTCCTGATGGGCTCAGGTTTCTGGCCCTGCATGCATACGTGGCAGCAACATAACAGACTGACTGGATGATTACTTAGATAAGAAATGAGAAAGTGTTGCTGGACAAAGTTATACTCATTTTTTAGACCTTTATCTAATCTTACTACACATTTTAACCTTTTTAAATGACTCTATATTTTCAATTTGAGAAGGGAAGTCACTTATCACTCCTGTGGTTTAAAGATGTGTCATTATGTGAAACTACACTGCTACTGCATTAACTTCCGTGGGAACATACACATTTACAATTTACAAAAACCTGAGCTATTCTGAGATCAGTTTCAGGAAGTCTGATTAAGGTGTACATCCCCGAACTACCGCATCACGAAGCTGTCAACCTGTAGCCAGTCTTCTTATAGCTTTCATCACATTTATGAGCCGTGTGTGTGACCTGTCAAGCTCAGCATTTTCTTTGTCAGTAAAACATAAGGATCAAAAAGTTCAAGCAACCTTTCAGGAAGTCAAGCAGGGTGTGTGTGTGTGTGTGTGTGTGTGTGTGTGTGTGTGTGTGTGTGTGTGTGTGTTTGTGTGTGTGTGTGCGTGCGTGCGTGCGTGTGTGAGTGGAACAATTATGGCTGCACCATGCAGAGACTGATGTCCAGTCAGCATTACTCACTCCTCACGTCAGACTGCCTCCCTCCAGATGGAAAAATGTTGGAGGTGCTCTGAGTGAATTTGTTGCTGATCTGTGATTCATTGAGAGTTTTTAAGATGATGATGGTCATGTCTTGAATACCAATGAAGGCAAATATGTGGGAAAATCTTTCATCAAAGGCTCAATGTGAAAATGAAAATAAGAAAAACTTTCCCTCTGACCCGTCTGCTCATCCTTATTCACTCAAAACAACTCTTCCCTGAGATCATGTGAGCATGTCCTCCATCACCAATGCAGATAAGAAAGACAATACCCTGTCCCCCTGCCAATCATCACAGACCTGTGTGTGTACACAGTGAAAACAAAGGCTCTCAGTGGGGCTGAAGAGCGGAAGAGTTACGGCTAAGACGCCAGACACCTGGGCAGAGCATGTTGTCTTACGAGAAAAATCCTACTTCAAGACGACACAAAGGGGATTTGAGGTTCTGCATCTGAATTTTGTTCAATGTTCCCATGGATGTGAGCACCAAGGAAAACATTTAAACTGCACTTTGGCCTTTTATTGTTTTCCCTGCAAGAAGAAGAAGGAGAGCAGAGGCCGGTCTGCATCTCTGGTCTTCAGCAATGAGATGAAGGCACGGAAAGAAAAAAGTTAAGGGATAAATAAAGGAAATTAAGAGATGTCGAGAGATTTGTCCTCCTACGGCCTGTTTTCTGTTAATCAGGTTCCTGCTAATCTCGCCACATCCTCTTGCTCCACCCAAGGCCCAGCTGTCCAAACCTCTGACTTCACTGCTAGTTAGAATTCAGATAAATGTTTGCTTAGCTCAGTCAAAAACACACTCCCTGCTTTAATTAAAACTGCAGCAACTTTTGTCATTACATGGAGGAGGAGTTCATTCTTTAAGTGGGGATGTTGTAATGTCATGTGACGTTCAATTCTAACTTGGACCTTTCCTCAACAGGTGTAGAATAGAAATCTGTATTGTTCTCTTTCAATGGCAACTGCAGACAACAGTGGGAGAAAGTGAAGAATACCCCACCAGTGCCAAGATCATGGTAATGATTTAATTTCTCAGGGAAAATCGACAACTTAACAAATGTAAAGTGAGAATTTGCCAAACCTCTTTGTGAGGTGGAACAACCTCTTCCAAAGAATGCTGTCAACAACATTGGCCTCACAGAAACAGCACATGAGAACATGTCCTTTAACGCTAAACCCAAGGGCCTCAGCCAACACACACACCATATTCAACGCTGTCCAGGGAGCCGGGGGAAAACAAACAGAAACTGAACATTGCAAAAGAGAAAAGCTTCACATCTTTGCCAGAGAAAAGAGCTGCTCTTATGTGACCTGTCATGACTCTGTCTGCTCCTATTCCTGAAACGACTTTTGCAATATTTTTTGCATAAGGATTCTTTTCCTTGGCGTGTAACAGCTGCTTTACCAGCTGGAATTAAGTGCCACTGGTGATAGCTACAATAGTCCCTGAACTCTTTTTACAACATAGGAGAAGATGGTGAGTATCCCATTTGAAAGTCTTCTGCACTAGTTTGATGATTTGCCAACCACCAGTGGAGGTTTGGGACATATCATCAGCTACGTACCTTAGCGTCATTGTTCTTCAGTCTTTTAATCGCACAACACCCTCTGCTAAAGCAGGCCTAACACTTGAGTGTGTTTCCATAAAATCTTGGCCATCAGTTTGGATCTTTCCTTAACCACTGGCTGCAGCGTTCTGCAGTCTGTGATGTTCCAGTAGAACTATATATACAGAGCGATAGAACCCAGCTTAGTTGATTGTGAAAAGCCTGAACGAATATTGCTGGACAGAGAAAAAAAAGACATTTGGATTTGGAAAGCTTCAGTCAGGCAAGAGGCATAAATGAGTTTTTCTGGGAAGCAGTTGAAGGACAGATATTTGGATAAAAGGAACAACCTGGCTCTGCTGTCATTCAACTTGGCAGCTGAGTTTAGAACCCAGAGCCCAGAGCATCCTGCCTGCTGTTGAGCTGCGAGCGAGCTCACGAGGTGGAGAGTTCCTTTTGGAAAAAAGTACATTTTCCATGAGGAGAATTCCAAGCAGCTGTTTGCCACGTGGCTCCTCACAAATAATTAACACAAGCAACATGGTGTCTAATTAGAAAGTCAATTGATGGTAAACCTAAAAATGCCCAGCTGGCGTCTCATATATATATTTTTCCTCTTCAGAGTCTCATAAACTTCAATATTTTACTGCTTTGTGATAAGAATCCAAAGTTTAACCTCAAATACCTGTAGATTATTCTACGTGTGTTCTTTCCATTGCCCTCAGCTACTGTTGAACCCCATGTATCTATAAAGAATGGCAAGCAGGATGACAGCCATGAAAAAAGTAGCATCAGGAATAAGTGTAAAGTGCTTCACAGTCGGTGAAATGAAAGGGAAGATGTGGGAAATGAAGATGAATGTGCTCCAGGTCGAAGAGTTGGCATGACATGGACCTGTCACAGACAGAAACTAATAAGTGATGGATGACTACAGATCTGCTCGGCTCGTCTCTCTTGCTGAAACATTCATCTTCTTGTCTGGGTTGTAATCACTCAAACTGGATGGGTGTCAGCTGGTGAAACAAACCACTTCCTGTTGTTCAAACACTTGACAGGTCAAAGCAAAAATGACGTCACTAGTGTCAAACACCAACTTAAAAGGGAACAAAGAGTAAAACAAACTTCCGTGTAACAATGTCTCTGCACAGCACAGCAGTGATGTATGAGCATTTTGCTTTTGGGAGTAGAGACATCCTGCAACAACAACTGCTGCCAGGGACATTTAATCCCTTTCTCTCACACATGCAGGGTAGACACACTCACTCACATCTAAAACACTGATATCTTTATATCCTTTATCTGAAGCAGATGTGTAAATAACTCGTCACTCAGGGTGTTGCACATGCAAACTGTTGTATCTTCAAGGGAATCGCTTGGCATTTTGGGGAAATGCACATGTCTCCTTTCTGGCAGAGATGAGAAGACGATATCAATCTCGTATTTGTCTTTTGAAAATGAAGCGACAGCCATTAGCTGCAAACAACATTCTACCTCTCAAAGAGGAACAAAAAGTCTTGTTGAATTAACACATTTGCATCTCCACTTGCTTACATATTATGTGCATGCCATGCATTACTTAAAAAACACCAGGAGAGCAAAGCAGCAAAAGGTTCATAAACAGGTGACGTATCTGTTACGGGCATCAGCACAACAAACAGTTGCAATTTAATTAGTTGTATCCTGTTCAATTGGTTCTTATCTCTGTGAAGAAAGGGGAGGCGGCTTGAGGTGGAAGATTTCCCTGATGAAATATTTTTTACAAAAGGTGCTGATCTTAAACTAGATTTACACACACTAACATTTTCAGTGCCTGAGGCCCACGCTGCCTTTGGAGAGGGGTCAGAAATAACAGAAAATCTCTGACATGATTAATTGCACTTTTGGCTGCTGATTTCCACAGATAGAATGAATAATAGTTGGACACAGGGCCAGCTTCTTATCAGAGGGGTAGCGCTCCTCTGCAGACGTATGTGAAGCTCACTGGAAGAACCGGATTCAGGGCCGTCAGGAGCTCTGGGAGGGGTTTCTGTGCTGTTACATGTTTGAACAACTTCACACTCACTTAACGTTTTCGAGGGGGAAACAACTCAAATATGTAAAGTGGCCTTATTGTGTGATGTGAGGTGCTCTCACAAAAATACAAAAGCACATTTGAGAGCCCCTAAAAAGATATGAGCGCCAGAAATAACATGCGTCCTCTGCTTCACTGTACGTGCCAGCTAATGTGCCCTCTGGCAGCACATGAGTGTGTTTAATGATAAATGCAAATGTGTGTGTGTGTGTGTGTGTGTCTCCTGTTGCTTTCCAGGGGGAGTACTTCAAACTATTGCATGCCTTTTTTCTATTTTCCAAAACATTTATTAAACAATGAGATACTAAAGTCAGGCCGGCATTGCATACAATTCCATTCCTAAACACTGAACTGCTGAAAGTGTTACTGATAGCTTGTCTACATGAACTACTTTAGGGAAAAGAAATTTCATTTGTTGCGCTAATTCTCTCCAGCTGCACGGCAGCACAGAAATATCTCATCTGTCTTGGTGAAAAACTCCATAAAATGTGCCACAAAGCAGGAAATCTACAATTTTCTGCTCTGCAACTCGATGTGTCCATTCTTAAAAATAATAATAATAATAATAATATAGGAGGACAGCACCGGTTTCTGATTAGCCACGCAGGCATCACCACTCTTAGTCAGAGCTCCTCTTTTTCCTTATCAGGCTCTGCTTTGGCACAGAGGAGCATCCACTGTTAAAAAGCTGGACGTTTTCCATGTGGAATGAGAGACTGCATGGAGTCAAACAGCTGGCGAGAGAAGAGGAGTTGCTTGCTGTAGCAGTAGCTGACGTGGAGCTAAAGTACGTGTGCATCACTCACACACACACACACACACACACACACACACACACACACATATACACACACTGATGCCTGTGCAGCTGGAGCAACTCGAGATGCCTGTCAGGTGACCAACGAGTGAACCTCAAAGCTGAGTCTTGAACAAGGGGAGACAGAGTGTGTCTCATTTCAACAAAATGCAGTAGTTAAGCGGTTGGGAATGTACACACACTGACAGGTACGTGTATGCAATGACCAGACTGATAAACACATACGCTTACACACTCATGGACACTACAAATACTAGCATCCTGTGAGTCAAAGTAATGGTTAACAGGATAGAGTCACTTCCATCCTTGTGAGTTTTTATAGAATGCAATCTATTGCATGAGATCTATTGCATATACATCAGATTTATACTCTATGACAAATCCTGTTTCCCAGATTCAGGTGACAAGCATCTACTCATTCTAACAGCAGTAGTTTTCTGTAAGAAATGTCTGGAAAAGAATCACAAATAAAGCTGTTGAATCACATTAAAAAGGTTTTGTTTGTTCGATGTGCCTGATGCAAGACTCCATATCTATGGGATACTCCCTTTGTGTCAACTGTTTCCACAATGGTGTTGTGTTTCATCTCTGAATTAATTGCAGACTCCGGGCCTACCACAGACAGAGCAGTCCTGGAAAAACACATTACGATGGGTCTTGACTGCAAAACTTTCCAAGTCTTGGTAGTGGTGAATGGATACATGGAAAAGTCATTGTGCCCCCAAAAGCCAGCCGAGTCTCCCTCGCTCCTTTGCCGCCAAGATGAAGTCATCATTACTTAATCTGCCTCCTGCCAATCCCCCAACTATGTGTCCCTCAGCATTGTCCACTGAGTGCAAGGCACGCACGGGGGCCAGATATGTTTGGTATGTGATTGGTCTGGGTCAGAGAGGGGCTATTTGTCAAATCCAGGGAAGGGAACATTCCTTCATTCCTGGATCCAGTCTCTCTCAGACCTCTTTATTACATAATCCACTGGGTCTGTAAGAATCGTAAGAGCAAAGAGATAGAGGATAGAAGCCTGGACCTTTATGATTACATATACACTGTGAAGTGAACTATAACAACAAACATTAAAGATTGTTTAACTGTTTAACAAGTACACAAATGCAGCTTAATAATATATTAAAATCTTTATTTGGAGATTTTGCATAGTTTAGGGTTAGTTTAATTTTGACATCCTCTGAGGACACTATTGGTTTAAACCACACAAACTATAGAGGCTAACGTATTCTGTGGTTAACAGTAGCCTGACATCTAGTGGGCAATGTGAAAAACTGTGCTCACAATGGATCCCATTATAACACAACAGTTTCCAACAGCATGGGCATTAGAATAATAACCTGCAATTAGGCCCAAAAATACCAAATGATTTTATTTTAAAATCGTGTTTCTTTACACAGTGCCCTGGCCTCTATAAGACAGGTTGACAGCATTAATGTAGTCTATGCAGGAACAGCCTGATATCATTATCATTAAATCAGATTTATTATATTTATTGGGATTCACATGATGTCAAACAGCCACAACTAATGTTGCATTTTAACTCTGCATCACAAAGTTGCAATAAGTCAAATCAGCACAACATTAAATGGCATACAGTAAATACGGGGTGTCTGAGTTTCGAAGCTCATTGGGTCAGTTGTTAATTATACATAAATAAATACACAAATAAATACATGTTAACATAAATAGACATGGCATTGCCGAAATGAATTTATTTTTCATTTATTTATGTATTTAATTATTTATTCCTGCATTTATTTATTTATTTCATGCCATTTTTTGTCCCTCGTTGTTGTCTACGATGCCTGATTGGAAATGTGTTGTGTTTTAGGACTAGGTTGAGAGCCGACCAGTTGAGCCTTGGGTTCAAATGCCCACTTACTCTATTATTACTCTAAATAAACATGTAATTTGTTGTTATTTGGAGTTAGTTCAGATTTACTTCATGCATTTTATTAGTTAGTTCAGATTTACTTCATGCATTTTATTAGTTAGTTCAGATTTACTTCATGTATTTTATTAGTTAGTTCAGATTTACTTCATGTATTGTGTTAGTTAGTTAAAATCTACTTCGTGTATTTAATTAGTTTATAAAACTTCTGTAAACTTACCTCTTCGATTCCACAGGAAACGGGGGGAAAGCTTCCGGAACCTAATTCTCCGGGCGCATTTCAATGACGGACCATTTTTGTGTCACATCGTTAGCTGTCCGTCAAACCAAATCGTGGAGTCGCAGACATTTCTACAATTTATTGTTTTTGTTACAGTCGTGTTGTGATTAGTTTTAATGGACGACACGGAGCACACAGACAAAGAAGACAATGCGCCTTCAGTTATTGAGCGGTACTACACGCGGTGGTACAGAGCCGGTAAATAAACCTTGACTGAACATCTCATGGTGTTAGCTGTGTGCTAAGTTAGCTAGCGTTAGTGAGAGAGACAGAGTAAAATTGAAATAAAAATGTCCCGACTGTCTTCAAATGATTGTCTCGCTCTGATTTAGATATGAAGGGGAAACCATGTGAGGACCATTGCATCCTGCAGCATTCAAACAGGTAAGACCAGCTGATGTTTACTATCAGATAAACAACTATGCTATATTTTTCATTTCCTGCTTTTGTATCTAACTTTAAAACGTTTATTGAGGGAAGTGTTTGTATTGGTATTGTATTGTGTGTGTATGGTGGCACTTGTTTCCAGCCTATACACTATTTTCCGCTTCAATTAGCTGATGTGTTTTGCTGCTTTTAATCTGCATTAAATATAAGTCTCTTATAGAATTTCCTTGTTTTTCTTTATTTTTCGTTAGCCTATTGCTTTGTTTTGTTACAGATTTCTTACGAAAATTACTCCAAAATGTAACGTATAAAAAGTAACATATATCAAAGGCTCATTTTTAAATTTGTGATTGCAGAATATGTGTTGTCACATTAGCAGAGACTCACCCGATCCTCCAGAACGGACGGACAATCAAGAGCATCAATTACCAGATCAGCGATGGCTGCAGTCGGCTGAAGAATAAAGTGTCCGGGAAATCCAAGCGGGTAACTCTTACAGCTACGGATGATTTATGTGCAAACCTTTGTCCTTCTGCATCTTTAAAACCTCTTAACCCTTCTTGTCCTCCCATTACAGGGCGGACAGTTCCTTACTGATTTCGCACCTTTGTGTAGGATCACATGTTCAGATGAAACTGAATACACAATCTACAGGTGAGGCAACAGATTGTTTTTCTAGATTTATATTCTGCATAAATGCACCCATGACTCACAACTCTTATCTTTTTAGCTGCATCAGGGGCCGTCTTCTTGAGGTCAATGAGAGTATTTTAGAAACACCTAAACTCCTGCTGGAAAAGGTAAATATGTGCACATCAGGGTATCATATGTTCATCTGTCTGTGATTTAAATAACCCATATTTTTGCAACCATTAATGCAAATAAACAGTTAACACGGGCTAATCACGTTTGAAATGTGCTAATCTTGTCACATCTGAACAGCCATCCACTGAGGGATACATCGCTGTCATCCTGCCAAAGTTTGAAGAGAGCAAGAGCATAACAGAGAATCTTCTGAGCAGAGAGGACTTTGAAAGAATCATCTCCAAACGAATTGCTGCTGAATCACAGCCTTCCTGACAGCACCCTGTGTTCCTGCCCCATTCAAGTCCGAACTGTTGTGGAGGTGTTAATCTTCTGGATAAAAAAAACTGGGGCTGGAAAGAAAAAACTGTGGATGCCATCCTGGAAAAATGACATTAACTTGTGGTTACTTCTAAAATCTTTCATGTATAATGCAAGCATTGCACTCCCTGACCTAAACAGTGCTTTTATTTGTTTATGAAATTGAAAGTTTGAGGAAGCTCCCTTAGTTTGTTTGTTTTTTAAATTCAAAGAACAAGGAA